CTTTTCGACGTGTTATTGTCCTTTATTAATGGCCCTATTATGTATGGCGACTGGAGTATAGTTGCTGGTCTAGTAGCCATGGCTACCAGTATCGTAATTTGTATTATGTATAGCTATTAGTCTCAGTATACAGAAAAGCGCAGAAAACATCCGAATTTACTTTTTTAACATGAACTTTTCCAAGTAATTGGCAACTTTGCTCCAATGTGTTGAGCAATTTATGTGAACAAATAACAAAATCGTCGTTAACGGGAAACAGAAAATTCCGCTACTAGACTCAGTAGCCGACAGTCAGTAGCCAGTAGCCATACGTAATGCGAATTTTAGTATATGGTTGCCCGTCGACTATCAGTCGCCATACACAATAGGGCCCATAAAATGTTTATTATTTTTTACTTACATAGGCTCAGAAAATAGGTATTACGTACAAAAATAAAATAACGCGAGGATTAGGTTATTTAAAAAAGGAACACGCCCAAAGGAGTTAAATAAGAAGCTAAAATAAGAAGAAAATTTTCCATTTATATTTAAAAAAAAAAAAAATCTGCTGGAACTATTTCGTCTATTTTTCTAGTACTAATGTTTTCCTTCAAAATCCACTCTCGAATGGTGCTATACATATCTATATATATACTTCCTTCAAGAGTTATGGCCATAAAATAATAAATAAATAAATACATAAAAACACCGCCAAACCAAGTATATGCTTTCTAACTCATTACGTCATTTTTAATGGTCATAGCTTCTCAAGGAAAAATCTTTAAGCACCACTCAAATGGCTCATTTTGAAGGGTAAGAATAGTACTAAATGGCTTAGAGCAAACAAAAATTGCTATTAACCTCGAAAAACCTCAACATCTTAGCGCAGTTCTAAGCTTGAGCTCGAGTTCTACGTTGAAAATTACTTCTGAAACTACCCACAGCTGCACAACATCAGAAAATTTCAGATCTGTATTCATAATTATCATGTTGTTAGATTCTTTGGATTACATGTCAAATCGCAAATCTACAAAATTCATGCTACTTATTGCATAAAACACACTAAACGCTACTTAAAAACCTAATTATAATCTTATCGCTAGACATTTATCACACAGGTAACGTAACAGTCTCTTTCTGTAACGTAACAGTACGACTATTTTTTGCAAATATTGACCTCGAAATGAATTTTATCAGTTCAATTAATACGGAAACTGCGTACCAACGTTTGAAAATATTATATTAGGAGAGCAGACTTTTTCGATAATATAAAGCAGCTTTAAAAAGTACTTCCAAAAATTGTAATGTAACAGTCCGCTGTTGAAACATTCATAACTCCTAAAAAGGAGTTACAATTTACTATTTGTATTATTTATAAATGATGTGAGTTCTTGTTTTTCATTTGCGAAATTTTTACTGTATGTTGACGATTTGAAAATTTTTGCAGTGATTAAAAATTCGTTTGATGCGCTTAGACTTCAGTCCGAGATCAATAATTTACACAGTTGGTGTCTCAGCTCTCGCCTTTCTCTAAATATTAAAAAATGCTTTCAAGTTACTTTTTCCAAAAGTCGCAGTATTTGTTTGACGTCTTATGCTATCTCTCAAAATCAACTTCAAAAAGTTCAAGAAATCAAAGACCTTGGTGTTATTTTCAGCTCTAATTTCTCTTTTAATACTCATATCAGCCACATCATTTCTAAATCTTACGCTGTTCTTGGTTTTGTCAGGCGTCAGAGATCAATGTTCTCTGACCCATATACACTTTAATTGTTATTCACATCTTTTGTTCGTTCTAAATTAGAATATGCTTATTTTATCTGGAGGCCATACCATGCAAGTTTAATTAATAGGATTGAAAGGGTTTTTCTTGAATTTGCTCTAAGAGATCTAAAATTCACCGAGCCTATTCCAACGTATAATTCCCATTTGCTCTTAATAGACCTTAAATCTCTGGAAGCCAGAAGATCTTTGCTCTCTCTAACTTTTAATTTAATAAATGGAGTGATCGATCGCCCTACCCTCCTTGAGCAGGTCAACTTGAATGCTCCTCAAAGGATTCTTCGCAATCCTATGCCTTTTTATGGAGGAAATTATAAAACGTAGTATGTCAGAAATGCTCCTATTTCAGAAGGTGATTTTTCCATATAGCCACATACTTATGCTTTCAGACTCAAAAAGAAAAACTATCCGAAATTTGTATTATAGCGAGTTTCAGTGGTATTTGAAAATCAATGTGAGTCAAAATGTAATGTAACAGTCCGAGTGTGTGTTTAGTATTCGCAACTTTAGAACTTCATGAAATTAATGAAAATTGTTTAAAATTAGTGTCTAGCCGCCAAAAAGTAAGAAAACAAATGCAAAATCATAGATTTTTCACAATTTTCTAACACTTCGCTACACCAACGAAAGCAAAATTCTGATCGACGGAAAATTCGATACTCAACTCGACACGCTTGCATAGATCATAATACGAATTTCACTTTCGATCTTCGATAGCCAGCGAAAATCAAAAATCTAATGCAACTCATAAGGGCCCCAGAGCCAAAGCTGAATTTTTAGACGTGGAAAGCATAACGTCAAAATGATGTGTTTGTTGTAATTCATACTATAATTGTGCTTATAATTTGATAGTGTAATTTTTTACTTATATACGGCTTATAACCCCTTATTAATAAATTCGCCTTGCACGAGGCCCTAATTGCCAAATAAGCAGTCCAACATCCTATGGTACTGCTCCGTAGTAGCTCTAGCTGGTTTTTTTTCGTATTGTATTCACAAACAACAATCGCGACACAATAATACGCGCAACAATAAAAAGTTTCTTTTAACAGGTCTATTCTGCGCTGGTAATAAAAAGTTTGTAACCGGCAAATAAAGTTCCTGTCAATTTTTAAACCCTTTTCGCATTCTGTGTATTCTTGTAACCGGTAAATTTTGTTACCATCTCATAAGCTGGTAACAAAGTATTGCCCCGTGAAATATGCAATGCCAGAATTTGCACAATTCTTCATAGCTGAATTGCTGAATATTTTAACTGCATTACCAACCCTACAAGAACAGTGACTATCATTTGACAAATCATTTGAGTGGCAAGACTGATAGAGATTTCTGTCACTGGCTGCCTTCAAGTTTCTATCAAATTCTAAAGGGCAGTGTGAAAAATCTGATGTAAACATTTGTGTTCCGTCTTCCTCCGACTTATGGCATTATTTAGTTGTCTCTTTTTAACCAACGCAAAGTTTGTAAATGTGTTAGTAAGGTAAATGAGAATGTGTTAGTTTCCATCACACAATTCTTGTAGGGAACGTTCCTAGAATCGCGGTGACAAGAACTGGTAACATTTTTTGGTAATAAAATTTTCCGGTTACAAAATCTTCGGTAACGTGCAGAATAGACCTGTAAATATTGAGTGTCAATATTGCCATATTTGTCTTTGTAATTAGCGACAACCGTCAAACGAATTCTGTCGTTAAGTGTGTTTTTGAGAATAGCCTATTCGCTACTGCAAGCCACAAACGTCGTTCATTATAAATAACGAATATCGGTCGTTAGAAAAAATGGGAATCGCACTACAGATCTCTACCAGGATCATATCGTTGTTGTTGCATTTCCGTGCAAATTTTTTTTCCGGATTTCATTGCCCAAGAAAACACAGCTACTGCTTGCAGCAACAGCAACTTTTCTAAACTGGTTGCTTCGGCTCACTGTCTAAACAAAAACAAACTGCGCTGTAAGCAAAGGCAAATGATTGCATGTCTCATTTCGCTTTTGCTGTCTGCTTCCGCTGATTTATTTTTCTTAAGTCGCAGCTACAATAGCAAATGTATTGAAAATTACCAAGAGCTGCTTGCTTTAAAAAGCAAAAAAGTGTTGCTTATGCTATTTTGTAGTCAGCGATTCGAACCTTGTTCATAATACACATGTTCATTTCAGTGGCGTTGTCCTTCGGTTGCGTTGCTATTCATAATAAGACCCCGCAGGCCTATTCTGCGCTGGTAACATACATTTTGTAACCGGTAAATTAAGTGCCTGTCAATTTCCCTGTAACCCCCAGTTACAGGTCTATTCTGCGCTGGTAATAAAAATTTTGTAACTGGCAAACAAAGTTCTTGTCAATTTTTAAACCCTTTTCGCATTCTGTGTACTATTATAACCAGTAAATTTTGTTACCATCTCATAAGCTGGTAACAAAATATTGCCCCGTGTAATATGCAATGCCAGAATTTCCACAATTCTTCATAGCTGAATTGCTGAATATTTTAACTGCATTACCAACGTACCTAGAATCGCGGTGACAAGAACTGTTAACATTTTTGCAGAACGTGCAGAAGACCTGTTAAACATAGTTGTCGACGTCACCGACTCCATGCGTATAACATTGAGTCGATAATGATGTTTAACGGGGAATAAGTGTTAACCAGAGATGGTGGAAAGGACCTTTAGGACCGGTTGTTCAATGTCTGATTAGTACAAATCGGAGGTATAAGCTCCGGTTAAATACAACGACTGCTTTATCGATCACATGTGATATGCATGATGTCAAAAACGTGTTTAACCGGGAAGTAGTGATAACCAGACATTGAACAACCGGCCCTTAGCGCCGTTTTCACCACCTCTGGTTAACACTAATCCCTAGTGTAAGATTGTTACCGACGTTACTGACTCCATGCATATTACATTGTGTCGATAACGTCGGCAACGATGTTTAACTTGAGATTAGTGTTAACCAGAGATGGCGAAAACGGCCCTTGCTCAAAGCCTGCTTGACACTAATCTCCGGTTAAACAGCGTTATCGACGTTACCGACACCGTGTTACATACATGGAGTCGAAGACGTCGATAACGACGTTAACCGAAAATTATTATCAACCAGGCTTTGAGCAACCGGCTCTTATCAGCTTTATTGCCGATGCCACGTGAATAATTTGTTCCCATATTTTAATAGGCAAAACAAAAACAAATTGGGAAGTTGGCAGTTCGCTATAAGCTGAATGATTTACACTCAACATGGATTCAAGTTTTCAATTTCATCATGCGTTTTATTGTATCCGCAAGTTATATTATCATATTGAAATATTAGTGAATCTTATTAATTGCTACTGATATACTGCAATTTCAGCTCCGTGTATTTGATACTATGTACTGTAAAGAATGTCGTCAAAACTTAATGGACAAAAATGACATATTACATAATTATGTATTTTAAATTGTAAATCTATACAATTCTTCAAAACTATACGTGATCTGTGAATATAATAGATTTAAATACACCTTAAACCCTTTGTAATACATTTAAAGTATGTGAATGTGATAAAAAAAAGTTCATATAAATGAATTGTCATTTGACCGTGAGCAGGTTCTCTTATCCGTCACACAAACTACCGCTCATATAAGTTGTGCGGCCGAAGTAAAGTTCATCTCAGTATGGTGCATAACGACGACCCGGCGGCGATGGACCGCGCATTCCTCTTGACGAAATCATCCTATCGTCAAATGAATCGCGACTAAAATCCTCATAACTACAAATTGAAAATTTATTGCACAACCATTTATATTAAAATCATAATTTACCATACCCATAGCGGCTAAGTCCATTGCTGCTTCGAGGGGGTGGTGAACGGCGACTAAACATAGAATCATAACCACGTGAAAGGCTGCTACCTCTTATACTGCCACTTAACGGTGGGGGAAGGGGCATGGGCTCCCGACGAGATAATGGTGGTGGCGGGAAATCCCGCATTCGTGAGCTTTGATAGCGCCTTTCAAATAAGTCGCGAGTATCATCGAATCTACGATCATAGTAGTCATAATCCTGAAAAAAATATTAAACTTTATTAAAAATTCCAATTTCCAGTCACCGCGAGTCAAGACACTGCTAAACTCATAAAACCACATAGAAAGATATGTATGTAGTATGTATAGTTGAAATTAAAATTTAATCCTTTGACTACACGTGTATGGAAATTTTTTTTGATTCGGGTCACGCCGCAACAACCCAAAATCATTGTACAAATAACCGAGCCGCATCCCCAAAAAAAGTTACCAGACATTAAAAGCAAACTATTGGCTCCCAGATACGAAAAACAAACTTAATTTAAGCAGAATTGTATCAAGTACATTATGTATGCTGAATATTATAGCCAGGCCTGGGCGACGCCGACTGCGTAGCACCCTCGGGGTAACGTCGCGTGTTCGTATTCGGGATGCCAAAATATCAGGAAAATTTTGATCCCGGGATTTCGGGATATTTTTTATGTCAAAAATTTTATGAATATGAGTAAAAATTCAATATCTGAAAGCTTTTAAACATACCATGAAATAAAACTATTTAAAATTTACGATAAACTGATTGTAAAACTCATATATCGCTAGCTTAGAGTGAAAAGTTGTTAACTTCACTTTTAGTGAAAAATCATATTTTGATATAGGACGCTAGATAAATTAAAATTGCATCGTTTCGAAAAGGGTAAAGGTCCTTGTTTTATGTTTTCTCGTTTATATTCAATGAAAGGAAAAATCGCTAAGGCCAAAAAAAAGCTCCGAAAATTCTATAAAGCCAAAATGGTTCGAAATCTTTAAATAAAGATCGAATCCCTCTGATTCGTATGGAGGTTTGCTTTGCTTTAAACAGGCAAAATGTTGTATTCAAAGTTTTGCGAAATACTTGAAGAAAATGGCTATAAGAAGTTTTTTCCTCTCCTGTACAATTTTTAAATTGGGACTTAGCAACTTTACACTCTACGCTAGTGATATTTATTAAATCAGACAAATTTTAAATTAAAACCTTTTTTAATTGTATTTAAAAAACCATGTGATTGAGGAACGTAATAATACATCACAAATAACAATGTAAATACCAGGTACTTTTGAAAGTAATGATAAATAAAAAAAAAAACATAAAACAAAAATATACAAAAGCAATTTCTCTAAACATGTTTATTCTACTCTATAAAGAAATGGCGAATGGAGAACTTGTTGCCTTTTTTTTGCAATTTACTAGAAATTTTGAGCGTGTACGAGTTAAACGGATCTCAGAATCGGATTCAGCGGGTCGAAATTCATGTTGTTAGGTGGGTCTGGTTAAAAACCCTTTTTTTCTGGTGTTGTTATTATTGCATTTAAAATGTTTTCGTAAGAGCAGGAAAGCATTCAAAGCGGAGTCTTCTAAGCTTGACCTGCAGTTTTTACATACAAAACCTACTGTGAATAACATATTTCGGCCTCAACACTTTTAGGCTGAACTGTCAAAAGGTAGACATAATCCATTTGAAGATAATGACCCCTATCTCCTCCATTACAAAATATTTGAACTTCTTTTATCAGTACGTCGGACAAATTATAAGTTTTTCGATTTGAGGAAGTTGATCTAAAAAATTATCCAACTTTTCCTTAAAACTCTGTTTCGTTTACATCAGCGACGCTATGAGCAAATTCGTTGAAATCTTCTTCAAAAAAGGCTCTTCTTCAAAACGCCATTTTACAAAAATCATACTTCAAAATTCATAAACAAATTCTTACTATCAATTCGATATTTAAAATTTTTCGGGATCCCGGGATTAATGCAAGCAAATCCTGGGATATCCGGGACGTCAAAAACACCGGGATCCCGGGATTGGCATCCCTAGTTCGTATACACAGAGTTGAATGAGAAAATTAGGCAGAAATTAATTACTGTTTCTTAATGAATCGCTTAAAATTTAATACGCTAAATTGCAGTTTATTTTCGCCTTCAAATTCGTGTCTACGAACACACGACGCTACCCCGTGGGTACTGCGCAGTCGGCGTCGCCCAGGCCTGATTATAGCCAAGGCGAATTAATATAAGGTGATAGCAGGAGTACAAAAAAAAAAATTACATGTATTTTTGTCATACACACACACAAATGTAACGAAATGTCAATCTGAAGTGAATATGAAATAAACGCATTGTAGTCAGTCTGCAAATGAACTCAGCACAATTCGGGCCACAGTATAGACAGTAACCAACCTTTGTGTGCTGCTATTTAATGGCCTTCCTCAGACTTTTTCTTAGATTTCAGGGTTGTGTGCTGCATTATTATTAGATAAATAAATTTAAGCATTTGACAAATCGTGATCTTATTAAAAGAAAATTATAAATGGTGTTGAAAACCCAAACAAACGCTCTTGCGAAAGCTCTATTTTTGTGTGTTGTTAAAATTTATACATGGCGTATTGATGGTAATACAAGCAATGTATTCTTTTGTGGATTTTATGTCCGTTGAGAATTTAGACAACGTACGAGCTGCCAGGTTCTGTTATCAATATAATTAACACAAGCTTTTCCGCGTAATTGCCTTTCAATAAATAAAATAAACAAATATTCGCAAATAAATTGGATTTATTTGATAACTGACAACTAACGTACGCTTTTTGTTCTTTTCTCCAGTTTGATTTTGACTCTATATTACCGCCAACAACTTTATGTGTATACAACTTTACAAGCTGTAAAAATTTTGCATAGTCCCACGAGCTAGGTAAAAACTATGGCATTCGTATTGACAACGAGAAATCTCAAAATTTTTGTTTGGTCTTTCTAAATTTTCTCTTTTTTATCAGTTGGCCCTCAGTGGCAGCGCTCCGAGCGTTGAGATAATAATTTCATATCAATTAGTAGAAAAGTTCCATGTTGAAAAAAACTTTTTATTATGGCGAGAAAATTTTACATTTCTGCTGTGCCAATTCGTAACTTTTTACTGCTGGAAATTTTTGACAGTTCTGGTGCAAAAGAAGTTGAGCAATTAAAATCAGAAATTATACAAAAAAGACTTGTCTTTACTGACCTTTATTCTTCTAGAACTAAAAGCCATGCATTTATTAGATGCCTTAGTAATAAAATTAGAACAAAAAATTCTTCAAAACCGTCAGGCCGGGTTGAAAATTTTCATTCACCTCATAGTTAACAAAAATTTACAATCCGTAGTACTTTTCTATCAACTCGCAAATGCCGTTTGCACAAAAAAGGTTATGAAATACGTTTTATTTAAATCGTTTAGAAAACAAGTAAGAAAGTCTAAGTTCGGGCGGGGCCGAACATTAAATACCCGGCGCAAGTATTACATATATGCCTTTTCACCTTTCCGGAAGCTACAGCTACATGGTAAGCCGGGGTGTATCAATTTTGAATAAATTAGCGTCCGTAAATTTCGAAATATTGACGTTTCGAGCATTTCTAAAATTTACCGTTATATGAAAAGCCGTAATTTTAGTCCGATTTCAATAATTTTGAACGTTTTGCTTTTATGTGGCAAGCACAATAACCATACCGAGTTTGGTACAAATTGGTAGAACGGTTACCGAGATACATATATGTGATCATAAGTGGGCGGTGCCGCGCCCATTTTCCAAAATTTTATGATAAGCGTATTTCCTGATAAAGAATTGTTGCAAGCATCAATTTTGAATAAATTAGCTTCAATATTTACGGATTTATCGAAGATTTCGTATTTCTCCAAATTACCGTTATATGGGATGTGGGCGTGGTTATTGTCCCATTTTTTTAATTTTCGGCCAATTGGTATCCTGTACCAAGGCCAATAACTGTGCCAAGTTTGGAAGAAATCGGTGCAGCGGTTGCCAAGATATACACATGTAACACTAAGTGGGCGTGGCTACGCCCATTTTTCAAAAATTTATAATATTCTTATTTTTCGTCTTAAAGTTATTGCAAATATCAATTTTGAGTGAATAATCTTCAGTAGTTACTAAAATATCGCAGTTTTCGTATTTCTGAAAATTACCGTTATATGGGAGGTAGGCGTGGTTGTTGTCCGATTTTGCCCATTTTCAATGCCATCCGTCCTACGCCCGAAAGAAGTAAACGTGCCAAGTTTCGTTAAGATATCTTAATTTTTACTCGAGTTATCGTGTGCACAGACGGACGGACAGACGAGCGGACGGACGGACAGACAGTCACCGCTTAATCGATTTCTCTTTTCATCCTGATCATTTATGTATTCATTTGTCTATATCTATCTCGATTCGTTTTGCCTGTTACAAACAACCGTTATGTGAACAAAGTTATAATACCCTTGTGCACAAGTGCGCTCGGGTATAATTAGTCATTTATGTATACCATTTTATGTGGAATTATTCGTTTTACACTATATTTTTGAAACTATTTGGAGTTAATTATTTCTTGTTGCTTAAAAGCAACCCTGAGTGCTTGGATGGCGTGTGTACCAATAATTTCATCCCTAGCATATTCATCCCCGAGGAAGGCAGTCGCCAAATTCACCGAAGGTTGTTTACTGGTTATATTGTGATTCGGGCGTATATAACAATTCTGGCGCCGAGAAGTACGAAAAAGACACTCATACGCGGTTTCAAATATAATAGCAGAATCGGTGAAGACAGCAGTCAAAATGGCAAGTACGTCGTTTACTTTTGACTGATTCGATGCAAAAATTACTACTTGGGAGTCGTTGGGTCAAGAGGCTTGAAATATTTGAAGCAGATGCCGCAAAAAAACGACAATTTTTGCTGCACTATATGGGTACAGCAGTGTATGATATACTGTGTGATAAAGCATTGCCGAATACACCGGAAATTATGGAGTACGAGGCGATCGTGAAGTTGCTAGAAGAACACTTCAATCCCAAGCACAATGAAATCCTAGAAAGTTATAGATTTCACTCGCGCAAACAAAAAGTCGAGGAGACGTGTTCAGAGTTTTTGGAGGCGCTGCGCCGATTAGCAACGGGATGTAATTTTGGTATGTATGCGGATACCGCATTACGGAATCAATTTGTTTTTGCGGGAAAAAGTTTTAACCTTGGTAGACGCAATTCAAAT